ATTAGCATCAACACGACGTCGAGAGGAAGGGGGACTGGGAGGAGGAGAGAATGAACGAGCCTGCCGACGTCCCAATATAGACAACGAAGGAGCCTATATATAGTCAGACAGAGCTGCCCGGTAAACCGTAGGCAGAGAGGGAGAAGAGGACAACAAACGAGGGGCTGTGACAAACTGTTTCGTCCAAGTTTCACCGACTCATCAGGAGGCTATATATCCTTCATAAAATATTCCCCGTTATAGCATCGGCATGAATGCCGTTAATTATCGGAAAAAAAAGAAGAAAATTCCCCGTTACAACATCGGCATGAATGCCGTTAATTATCGAGAAGAAAAAAAAACAAACGTTTTTGTCATTCCTAAAATTTACGGCTGGAATGATAATTTTCCGGAAAAAGAAAAAAAAAAAACGTTTTTATCATTCCTAAAACTGACCGCTGTCGGAATGATAATTTCCCGGAAAAAAAAAAAAAACTTCCAAAAAATGCCATTACGCAGAAAGACCCGTATTGCTCGCTCTCCGCATGCGGAAGCGAAACATTCGACTAATCATCAACTGTGATCGCACAGGACGCCTGCCTGTTTGCCATCAGCTCTGCACATCTCCAGATCGGACCGCTCCCGTCCATCTATCTATTTATCTATGATCTATCTATCTGCCGGAAGATTCCATTAAGATTCCATTAACATTCCATTTAGATGAAATTAGATCTGTTGAAAGATCGCGGATATATCATGTCCATTTCCAGAAAACTTCTGTTCCAATCGATAATCCGATCTATATACCGATCGGAAGGCTCCGATCTATATGCCGATCTTAATTAGCCATCTATCCGAAGATTCCCAGACCGGTGGAGACTTGCAATCTATCCGATAGACAAGTCCACAAGGGGCCACAAACAAAGAGAAGAAGGAAACAAAAAATGCTCTCAACAAAACCTGAGAACTTCGCGACCAAACCATAACGACAAAGAGAGGGAGAGTGGGAAGCTGGACGGAAAGGGAGAGGGCGACAGGGGGCGGTGGAGGAGGGCGGAGGATGAAGGAGCCGCAACAAGGGAGAGGAAAGAGAGAGAGAGAGAAAGAGAGCGATTTGGGTTTATCCTAACGCGGATTAGGGAGAGAAAAGAGAGAGAGCGAGAGGCGGATTAGGGAGAGAGAGAGAGAGAGAGAGAGAGAGAGAGAGAGAGAGAGAGAGAGAGAGAGAGAGAGAGAGAGAGAGAGAGAGAGAG